GGGATGAATTTCAACTTTTAGGCACTTGAATGATCAAGTCAAGGAGGATGAGGTGGGCAGGGCAAGCAGACGAATGGGGAGAAGATGAATGCATGTAGGATATGGGTGGGAAAGCCATAAGGAAGGAGACCACTGGGAAGACCAAGACGTAGGTGGGTGGACAATATTAAAATGGATCTCAGAGGGATAGGATTGGATGGTATGGATTGGATTGGATTGATCTTACTTAGGATAGGGACCAGTGGAGGTCTCTTGTAAACACGGTAATGAATCTTCGGGTTCCATAAAATGCTGGGAAATTGTTGAGTAGCTGCAGATTTGGCTTCTCAAGAAGGGCTCAGCTCCATAAGTAAGTAAGGAACTTGGCAAGCGCCGTTTTGACCGACATTTACGTAGTTTCAACAGTAATTCTTTTGAGGCCAACTTTAGTATCTCAACTTAAGGCATACGGTGGTCACTCCTGTCTAGTCCTTTCAAGTTCATCATACATAATCATTGCCTCAGTTCGTTAGTTGTTGAACAACATACTCTGTTGATAAATTCCCGATAATTTTCAAGCGCTAATATTCTCTTCATATTATTCTATTTTTCTCTTGTCCACATCCTGTGTGCCTCATTCAAACACACCCTCCATTCTGGTTCCACCGCTGTCACTTTGTGCCTTGGTCTACTGGCATTGCTCGGCGCTTCAAGCCGGTGGCGTTGCCACCTTCCTGTTGACACTGTCCCACCTTCTACACTCTCCTCTGTCCGCCCTGATTTATATTTTATGGTAATTGATGCATTCAGGTGAGATGAAAGTACTTCGGTTAATTGGGCGTCAAGCGATATTGCCCACGGTCACACTTCACGGAAACGGGAAAGCATATAGGCTCACCAGCTGATTGTATCTTGCATGTGCATATTAAGGTTGCTGTAGGGTTTACCAGCAAAGTATATATTAATTGAAAGCTTCGTAACAGTATTTACACCGGTACAGTATTGTGATGTATATGCTCATTGCTGAGCAACGGCTCGATAAACACTTTCCAACAGAGACAGATTCTTGGTAAACAGGCCGATGCTAGATAAAGCCTACAACAATACACGACAAGAGTAGACGTCCACTGATAGGCAATGGACGTGTTTTCCGTGACGTCCGACCCGAGGCTATGTAACCAGAAACCAAGGCAGTTTAGAGTATAGAGTCAGAGTCGTGGATCAGAATTGGATGTGTCCTCGGCAACGAGGGAAGAAGGGTTCGGCTGAAGATTAATTTTGAGTAATCGTAATTCATTGAGATTACGAATGATTGTAGAAAAAGTGACCACAAAATCCAATTACCAATCTAGACTCTATCTTATTCACACCCATACACGTGACAGTATGTATTGTCATTAACGTACGAAGATACGTTTTAATCATAAATTAATTCTGAAGTATGAGGTAAATATAGAAATATGAAAAAATTGTGTAAAGTACACTAGTCGTAAATCATAAAGGGAAAACCTGTACTCTATACCGTGATGAAAGGAAGGAACCACTTGGAAGAACCAGTTTTAAATGGGCGAACAGGAAACATTAAAATATGTCTACGTCACCGCTGGGAGGGGGCGGAGTCTTGACTGACTCGTCACCGTAGTAGCTGCAGCGTTGTTACGTCACGGCTGGCGGGGGAGGGGATGTCCTCCTTAGCGAAATAAGTCACACTGCTCCCTTCTTAAGGCTGTTGGTCCCGAATAGCCTAACGGTACATCCCCGTTCCTTATATTTGCAGGCTGTTCTTGCAACGTCTTCTTCTTTCTTGTTCGGCTACTCCTCTTACTGCCTTAGAAGTTAAAGCTGAAGATGAAAATTTCCCTTTCGCTTGCAACCATAAATGTTATAATTAGTAATGTCACGTGACCAAGAGACTATAGACGGTTTTCGGATTAGTAATTGAATTTATTGAATACTTACAGATCGTAACTACAAAAGACTACAAAGCTATCGCTATGTCACATACTCTGCATTTCACTACAGCACGTACTAATCCTTCTCAGATTTGAGGTTTTCACGGCGGTGACTATGAAGAAAGCAGTCTTCTGGGATGTGGCACCGTGAATATGTGGTGTTAACCGACGTTTCGGACGAAAGTATCGTCTCCATCTTCCGGGTAGAAGGAAAATAAGAAAATCCGCAAGCGAAGAGACCGTGAGAACCGGTAAAGCAGACTGGTGTTGGAAATAAACACAGCTATGTGAGAGCAGTGAAGGAAGGGGGGGGCAAGTCTACATGGGAAATCATTGGAGTGGGAGGGGTGAAGGGGCTGGGACAGAAGCAGGGTTTTGTATATGATATTGTGTCGGGGGAGAGTGTGTCGGGGGAGAGAAAGGCAAGGTTAGTCTCAGTCTGTTGTATCTTCACTGGTTGTCGCCTGGTAATGGCTTCCAACGCCGTAGCTTCCTCCAGCTTCCGTGTTTACCAAATCTTCATGAACTTTCAATATTATTCCACAAACGCTCCACACAGACGTCCATTATCAGTTCATCGGTGTAGGCCCATTTGACGTCGTAGTGCGAAGGGAGTCAGACACATTCATATCGCAACTAAAATATATCAGGATATTATCGGAGTGGGGGGACCAGTTCTCGAAGACCGGGGCGGTGCAGACATTCCTTTTAATATTTGGTATTAATATTTGATATATTTTCCTCTTATTTGGGGTCTGTTTTTCAGAAATTCATGATATATGGATAGATAATTGGCTTATCTCCCACTTGGAGGCGTCTCTGAAAAGAAGGAATTACCAATTAAATGTCCATTTTGCTCCATTTCTCCAACAAAATGATCTAGTAAACAGAAATTCAGTTTATCTACTTAAAATTTGTCAGATTAAGATCTCATGGGAGTGCACTGTTCGCATTGTACAAGTGTTAGTGCCTAGGCATGGAGTTTTGATTGGTTATTTGATTTACTGATCTTTAAAGCTCGTAACTAGGAATTATTATAACGATCTCACTAGTTTACGCACGCTGTAGATCACTACAACTACAGGACACACAAAATATTCTGTTTATTATTCTTTCGTTATTAGTCGTTTCTAGGTAGCGTCTGCTAACAGTGAATATTCTTGACAGCCAACCATGGACTGCCACTACTCACTGGCAACTCGCGAAGTGACTGCTGCTGGCTGACCAATCTGTCTGGTCTGTGGTTAGGTTGCTCCTTGTCCTCGCCAGCACAGCCATTCCTGGCTTCAGTCTCCCGGGGAGAAGCATGAAGAAGGGTTTTGCTCTCTCTTAGACATGCACGGGTTTAGAAGCGGGTCACCTATTCGACGAGGAGAGGGGGGCGACGCTACGTTTGTTGCGCAGTGGTTTCAGTAGGAGTATACCCGCACTGCCACAGCGTCCACGTCACTATGGACTCCGCGTGTCCTTTGTCACTGCACTGTACTGAGGGGTATACAGGTTGTCTGTCAATGCAGGCTTGTGCAGCAGGTTAAGCCTTAACCTATTTCACCACTCACAAAATGCAGTTAGATGACTGATTGGCCGCGCCATAGCTCAAGCGGTTAGTTGCTGGCTTCCCACCGCGGCGACTTAGGTTCGATTCCGGGTCTAGTCAAGTGGGATTTGTGGTGGACAAAGTGACTCTGGGGCGGGATTTCTCCAAGTACTTCGGTTTCCCGTGCCAATCTTCATTCCACCAAATGCTCCATCATAATAATCACCCGGGGCAGGCTACAATAGGCCAATCAGTGGCCGCCGTGCCGAGTGGAACCAGTTGGACTCCACCCCCCACTAAGCGAATTTCAGAAGACTGGTTGTAGGTCTCACTGCCGCCAAGTTCAAGCTTCTTACACTTTTTTACTTTTGTCAAAGTAAAAAGTCAGCGTTACTTCACGACTGGCCGTTTACCGCCAATCAGTTCGTCTTAACTTCAAACCCCTTGACACACGCCCAGAGATTTTATCGACTGAACTCTTGCGGTAATAGCGCTTATGTAACATCGTCTCTGACGAGAAGGTGGATGCCGCTGGTCCTCGTTATATAGCCTTGGCGCGGACCACATAGGAAATACCTCTTCCGACAGATCCTCTATTCTTTCTTGTTGATTTGTTACCAAGTCGTTGCCTATCAATGGCAGCATAGGAAACACGCATTCCTCTATTGTTTCGATGGCATCTCTTTCCGCTGAAACGTGTTCACCGTACCGTTGCCTAGCAGTCACCGTCTCCACCTATTCAACCATTCTGGTTTTCAAAATTCGAAATATCAGTTGCTTCTACATCACCACTCCTCTTCAGCGATGGTACTTGCATCAACAACACTGCCAGTGCGTAAGAAATAACGGTCACCATCTCTTAGAGTAGTAGGCTACTAGTATTTCTTGGTTTTTTGGACTTTGTCTATCGTCCGGTATTCTAAAGAACGGAACTTTTTGGAAACTGGATTTCTTAACGTCCTCAGGTGTGGGGGTGGGAGACACCTACTCTGTTGGGGCAAGCAGAAGTAGCTAATCTCAATCACTCGATTCTATCCACCTATATATGCCCTCTGCTCCAAGTGGGAGCAACAGTATGTATATATATNATGCAGACACACAGCCCTTGAGTGGGATTCGAACCCACAATTTCAGTGTTCTAGCGGGCGATTGATTTTCGTACCTTAGATCGTGCAGCCACTGTGATGGGCAAACACGGGAATACCCCAGTAATACTGGGAGTTGTACCCCGTTGTCAGAACCCTTTAGAGTCTACTAGGACGACTTAGGCTTCTACATCAGGTACTGAGCTACAAAATATATTTCTTCTTATTGCTAGTGGGGTGGGACTAAGTCCCTCGTACTGCGGCCACTTCTGGCCTATTGTACCAGCCCCAGATGATAGGTGAGGGTGATTGTGGAGCAACTAGTGGAATGAAGATTGGCAGGGGAAATCGAAGTACTTGGAGAAAACCTACCCCCGCGCCACTTTGTCCACCACAAATCACACTTGACCAGACCCGGGATCGAACACGGGCCGCCGCGGTGGGAAGCCAGCGACTAACCGCTTGAGCTACGGCGCGTACGAAATGTATTGGTCGGCCTTTTAAGGAGCTAGATTAATCTTATTGCTGGAAGTGACCCACTCATTCTCCAGTGCCCTGTCTATAGTAGGACGTAAAGTAACATCAGGTTCTAAAATTTGCTTCAAAATGGACTTAGCAGCCATTGATGTCGGGACCCGGAATTTCAGTTTCCTTGACATCTGGGCCTTTCGTAATCTGTATAAGTTTGACACGTCGAAGGGCATAGAAACATTCAACATGAAGAATAAGATGATGCCCAAAGACCAAACATCTGCCATTTTAGGATTATAAGGAGTACCTCTAATAATTTCAGGTGCCGCATAACCTAAGGAGCCACAATACGTTTTACTGAACACTGGGTGACCATCAGAATCGACACAAAACCGCGCAAAACCGAAGTCAGCTAATTTAGCGTTGAAGTGTTTAGAAAGTACAATGTTGTCGGATTTCAGATCTCTGTGGGCAATATTCTTTCCATGGAGGTACTGTACACCACTTGCCATCTGTCGGAACCAGATTCTAGCCTGTTGTTCTGGAACTTTTCCTTTCGCCCGAATGAAATCTGAAAGATTTCCCATCTCAGCGAAAGACATGAAAATAAATATCCTGGGCCCATGTCGGAGTATGCTATGTACGTGGATTATGTTAGGATTTTCGATTTTGGTCAGAATATGGAGCTCCCTTTGGAGAAACTTTTTCGAAGGACAGTTCGTTGGACTGTCTTCAATGAATATTTTGCACGCAAGACGGGCCTTCTTCCTAGAGGATTTGTCAGTATAGTCTGCTATATGTACCTTTCCGAAAGCACCGTTGCCAATTTCCTTGCCAATCAAGTAGCGTCTTTGGTCTATGGTGTTCTCTTGAGCACACATTCTCTGGGCGAGACAGTAAATTTATTTGATTACACACTTGCAGTGTTGGGGTACTGGTCCAACGTAAACCAGGCTACGCATAGGAACCGGTAGATAATTTAATTTATCGGATTCCTATTACTTCTAATTACAGATAATTACCACTTGTGTAATTCTTAGCTGCGCTCAGATACCAACAGAATATTTAAAGTCTTGCTGTATTTTAAAATACTCTGGGTTTAAGCTGAATAACTTAGCATATTATAGCATAACGTAGATTCATGTCGGACTGATTAGAAGACACCGTCTCAAACAATTTATTTTCTGTTGTGTGCGTATTTGTTGCTCTGGAAACGTATTTTATTAAGCTGTTGCGTAGCAGTGGATGCTTCGGCGATGATTTTCTGACTCCAAAATTTGGTTATTAGGCGAAATTTTACAATATAATAAAAATGATTGGGAACCTTAGTTCCTAGGATTAACGTTGTAAAGGCCGTTTCAGAATCTGTAAAATTAAGAAAGTTGTTATATATATGTAACACGTATTGCTAGGCAGTGGCTCGGAAATCAAATTTCCTAGGTAACGCAATCACTCTACTGTTGAAGGGCGTGATCTGCGTGTGGTTCGACGAGACCTTGCCTCAGTGAGAGAATTGACGAATAGATTGAGTACAGAATACGTCTCGAATCTGAGACAGTAAAATATGGCCGCGAGTCCCACGGGACCCGGATTCGAGGATGACTGCACTGGCGAGGGCCACCAGTAATTATAAACGACAGAACCGTTCTCTCCTCAGAGAAAGCGCCCCACATCAACAAACCGGCAACTGTCCAACAGAAAAAATATTGTCGGTCGTAACATAAGACTCGACTCGGCTTGACTCGACTGAGTATAAAATACAACAGAAGATGGAAGACAAACAGAAGTCAGAAGTGTGTAGTTACAGTAACCTTTAGAGTGTTATCATTGTTCATATTGTGACATGTTGCGCAACGGAGAACCCCCCCCCCCTTAACAATCTCTACGGCGTCTTCAGTAACAAAAACACATTACAATATGTAGTTACGAAGTGTTACAGTTAGAGTAAGATTGTTTTACAACTAATTGTAGTTCCGCCTGTGAATATCCAATAAATCGATTAATCTAATCCGGAACCCAATAAATACTTGTCGCGTCGACAGGATACATGACTAAACAGAGGAACTGAATAGCCGTATTTGTTACAAACAAATGGTCATAACTCCTAAACGGCAAGCGATGAACCAAAACGGACTGCATTTTTGAGATCACATTTATTAACGTATTTCACTCGCAGTATGTCCAGATCCATCGACGTGCTTCGCTGTGCAAATTTCCTTGGTAACGAGGTTAACAATAGAACTTCTGTAACTTAGCAGCGAAGGTACCAATAATTACAAATTGTTACGGTTTCCGTTGGGGAAAATTGTTACATATTCTGTTACTAATGGTTTCAATCCATTTGCACCCTCGTATAATAACCTTTACAGCGTTAATAATATAATGTGGTAATATCAGTGTGTACGTGTGAACCAAGTCGTGATGACTTATGGAATGTTGGAGGTACAGCTCCACTTATAATCAAATTCTGCCCTACGTGGAAGCGAGTTTATATTTTCATGCCTCCTTCCGCTTTACCCCAGGAAAGTAGTATTGCGTGCAGAGCCGTTACTATACAACGACCACGAGATGAGCAAGTAAACCAGAGCAGTTTCTAGGCAATAGCTCTGCAAGCACGTTCCCGCAGCAACATACACGAATGCAACAATTGTACAGCAACAGATGAAAGGAGTTTTCTATGTTGTCCATGCCGAAATATTATAACCGGGACAGTTTGGGGCAATTAATAAGTTGCAAGAATGCTCTGTTGAAAGTCCGGCTGTGAAGAGAAGACTTCATTTGTGATATTTGTAGTGTGTATCTCAGTGGGAATGTTATATATTTCCTGTGTTAAAATCCTGTGGCAGGAAACGGCTAGTGCAGACTGTAATAGGCTGAGAACACTAGTCTGTGTGTGTCGGTGATCTGTATAGTGTAGTCACGAGTCGTTAGTCTAGAGGTGGTCAATAAATCTTGCCACCAATTCAAACCCCGTCTATAATCACACACCCAAAATGTGACAACAGGTACCGCTCATTTCGATGGGAGGAGCATGTGCCCCAGAGCCTGTGTTGGCGCTGTGTAGAAGAGAAAATATGTAGTCTACTATAGAAACTTTACTAGTATTACAGCAGAAAGTGAATTCATGTAACTACAGAAACTACGCATGACCTCGGCATCACACTCTCCTCTTAGTGGCATTTTGATCACTGATGAGTGGCTTTGGAATTGCAGCTCGTCCACAAATACCCTGCTTGTGGAGTTCCCTTCGTACTGTTTTGGTGCTGACAGGGTTTGTGAGCGTGACATTCAGTTCAGCAGTCACTTTTGCAGTTGTACTCTTCTTATTTTTCGTCATAATCCTACGCAGTGTTCGTCTGTCTCGATCACTCAACACACATTTCCGTCCGCGCTCGTGTTTATCGGATGCGGTTTTTTCAGTCCTCCTGTATGTGGTCATCATCTTGGATACTGTGCCTCGCGAAACACCAAAAACCTCGGCTACCTTGGTTACGGAAGCACCCACCATACGGGTCCCAACAATTTGCCCGCGTTCGAATTCTGTTCGCTCTGACACGATGCAGTTAAAAACTGCACAGAACACAGTCTCGACAACAGATGAAGCTTGCAACGTATTGGGCATATACAACAGCGTCACCTACAAACGTCGCTAAAATAAACACTTTAATTCAAGCATGCATTTCACAATGTGTTTCCTTATTTTTGTCCATCCCTGTACTATTACAGCAGAAAATAAATTCATGTAACTACAGAAAATTTACTAGTATTACAGCAGAAAGTAAATTCATGTAACTATAGAAACGGCACTAATGACAGTTGATAACCGAAAGAAAATTCATGTAACTAGAGAAACGTTACTAGTATTAGAGCAGAAAGTACATTTAAATAAGTAGAGAAATGAAACTAATAACAGATATACCAGAAAGTAAATTCAAATAAATATAGAAACAGTGTAAACAATAATTATAGTAACTATTTTGTGTTACGTTAAAGGAAGTTAAGTAACAAATTTGTCAAAATGATATAAATACATCTCAAATTTATCCTCATGAATAGATTGAAATAAAAATTATTCTGTCTCTAAGCAAAATACTTCCCATTCAGCAATGCACTGAAACGCCGAATTACAGACATCACTGCACAAACATATTGAGTCATTTCATGTTCTTCTGAAAAACCGGCGTTTAAATAATTAACCTTCTTTTCCACATGAGCACAGAAGTTTGGCAAAAATGTTTACTACTTTTTTAAGCTCCTAGACTGGGTGAAGTTAAATGTTTACAAGTGAAAATTTCCCTAAGAAAATAGAAAGATCTCCAGTCAGTCTCTTTGAAGCTGTAAATGGAAAATGTCAACTGAACTTCAAGGAAGTCATTTACTGACACTTATTGAAATAAATAACAACTCGCAAGGTAAATGAATGAACAGTGCGATCGCAGAAGAATCTCTTGAACTAAGTCATTATTCCATTCTCAGATTCTGAATAAGACAGTTGTCTCTTTCTACAGAGACGGCAGACTTATCATGAATACAAGGTGAATACATGTCGAATTTCCAGTCACACAGAGCCACCCCAGTAGTTACATGACAGTAACGCACACTATCCTTTGAGGCATGGCATCATGTAATCTGTTTAATATTGTGACGTGTTATTTTACGTCCATCGCTGCGCAACGGCTACAATGAGAACACATACTTCCGCGACAACGAATGCATGGAAAATACTGAGTTCCCACAGCGACAAATGGAATACCAACAGACCCTTGCGAGAGTAAATATCTTGGCCATTTTCCTCAGTCCCTCCAGGCAAATGCCGTAGTGGCACTTCGAATACGATGAACGCTTCCTTCCGAATCCTCTCCGATTCATAGTCATCAGTCATCCAGACCCTGTCTAGTCTCGATACCGAAATATATTTCTCTCGTTCAATGCCTTCACAGTGTTTCTTTATACAGAATATCCGAGGAGGAAAGGTCAGTATTCTGGAAGGTCACTGTTCAGGTCCAAGTCACATTGCGACTGACGGTCATTGTGTCGGTCATTCTAAGTACAAGGGAAAGCTAATAAGTAAGTTACAAATGGATATAGAACTTAAACATTTAAGACTACTGATTTGAAAAATGCTTTTATTTCTCAACATAATCTCCCTGTACACTGAGGCACTTGTCCCATCTTTTCACAAGCCCCTGAAAACCAGCAGCATGAAATTCTTTGGACTGCTTTCGGAACCAGACGATCACTTCATCGTCGGGAAGATGTTCAGCCGAAAAATGATGTTTAAGAGGGCCGAACAAATGGAAGCCGCTTGGAGAAAGGTCGGGGCTATACGGAGAATGCTCGAGGACTTCCCGCTTGAAATTTCGCAGGGTCTCATTTGTCTTGTTGGCAGTATGGGGACGCGCGTTGTCATGCAAGAGCAACACGCCTTTGGTGAGGAGTCCTGGTCTCTTCCTTTGAATGGCCTTACGAAGTTTCCTGAGGATGTTACAGTAGGAGTCGGCATTTAGAGTTTGTCCTTGAGACTGGAATGCTGTGAACAGTATGGCTTCGTGATCACAGGAGGCTTTGAGCATCACATCTGAAGGATGGTGTCACCAGGACGCATGATGTTTCCACCGAATTGACGCAAGCTTTGTCTGGGGGCTGGTAATGGTGAACCCAAGATTCATCACCTGTGACAATTCGGGTTCACTCAGCCTCGTGATGATAATTGAAGAGTTATTTGAAGGAAATAGAGGCTCCGGTCTAGAAAACCGAAATTAACGGCCATAGGGATTCGTTGCGCTGACCACGCGACACCCTCTGTCCGCTAAAGTTGGCACTAACTTCGTCGACAAGCGGCAGTCGCTCGGTCGGTATAATTCGCTTGCGGACTAAAATCACGGAGTTTTAGAGTGACAATTCGGATTAGTATATCGTGTCTATCGTAGTAGCGATAGAGATGCTGTAATGCCAGACCCATTCTTTGAATTTTGTGTTGTGGGGTCAGCATGCGTGGCACCCATCCTCCACAGACTTTGTGAAAACCT